ATGTTTGGTGTGACGGGGATACGAACCCGCGACCCTCAGATTGCGAGTCGAGTGCCCTAACCACCTGGCCATGCCGGGCCAGGAGGCAGGGTTTTATTGCTATTAGTAAACCAATTTTTAAACTTTTATTATACTTTCATAAAGCCTTTGTTTTGAATTAATAGATGAAATAGTTATTTATTTAGTGGACAAACTTTCAAGATAGTTTAAATTATTTATTATTTTCTTCTAATTTCCTTTCTTACTTTGGACTCTAAGTTAAACAATACATTAGATTTAAAGTTGTTGTGCACCGCAGGCCTAGCCTTATAAAATTCATTAGATTTTATCATTTGCTAAGTTGAATTTACTGAACCATTCCTAGATCTGGCTAGTCTTAGCGAATTTGATATATACTTTAGGCTATCCAACAAATGTTTGTCTAAAAGTGGATCAAGAAATGTACTTCTGTAAAACAATTTACTCAGGATCCTTTATTTGTTTACCTGTATTATATTCAGCATCTTAGCTTCTATTTAAATGTCTGCAACAACACATCAATATTTTATATTTACGTTATTTTTCCACATAAATGTAAGTGTATTATATTGAAGTAGATTTATGGATTTCTATTTTTCTGTCAAATAAGGTTGTGTATTTTTACATCGAAAACAACACATTGAACAAAAAAGATATTGTTTTGATTCAGTAACAACGTCAATTACCATAGATAAATCGAAAACTATGTCAATAAGACATTTTTTATAAACAATGTTATAAATATGCCGTAAACCTAACTTGAAGCATAATGAACCCGAGAAATGTAAAAACCTTACTGTCTGCCTCACTTTCACGAAATCTTTAAAAAGATATAAACAGTATCATACTACATATTAAAAATAAGTTTTAGTACCAGTAGTTAGATTATTGTAATGATAAAGAAAGGTATTGTTAAATTTATTATATAAATTAGCCATTCCTAGAAAGGAAGGTGTTATCAAGTTTATTATTTAATTAAACTAGTGGTTGCTAGAAAGGAAGGTGTTATTAAGTTTATTATTTAATTAAACTAGTGGTTGCTAGAAAGGAAGATGTTATCAAGTTTATTATTTAATTAAACTAGCGGTTGCTAGAAAGGAAGGTGTTATAAAGTTTATTATTTAATTAAACTAGTGGTTGCTAGAAAGGAAGATGTTATCAAGTTATTATTTAATTAAACTAGTGGTTGCTAGAAAGGAAGGTGTTATCAAGTTATTATTTAATTAAACTAGTGGTTGCTAGAAAGGAA